TGTATCCAACATACTAAACAATGAGATGTGTATCAAACCTTAGAAACTTCTTCATATCGCAAATCATTTTTTGATGATGGGCCAATTGCATTTAAGAATTCTCTTAAAGTCCATATACCGTCTTCTTTGGAAGATGAAGGAGATCTTGTATATGAAATCAAAAGAAATATTGTCGATATGGTTGTTGGCGATATGATGTTTAATCATGAAGATGCAGAAGAAAGTGATGAAGAAGATGAAGTAGAAGATGTACACCTATTTGGTAGTATGGGCAAAAATAATACCCAACTAAGCCAACGACGAGAAGCAGCAGCCAAGTTCAAAGAACGAGCATTATCATTGTTTCATCGCATTGAATTGAAGGACGTTGATGGGTATTACTTTTACCTAATGACGATACCCAAGACGAAAACAATGTTGTTTCGCCTTGCTATGCAATACGTATCTTGTGGGACATCATTTTGTATGGCATCCGAACTTGTGGGTTGTACATATGATGTTTTGGGCAATCATGCTTTACGTGCATGTTCTCATCACGATATCAGTAACTTTGTTCGGTTAATTTGCGCTGCCAATCTGCAAAAGATTGCGAAACTTCTTCGGCATTCGTGGGCATTTTCATTAGCACTCGACTCGGCGATACATCATAGCACTTTATTTCTTGACATACGCTTCCGGATTTTCATTTGCGACTATCATTCGATTGTTAACTTGCATGGTTGTGCACTTCCAATGTTTGATCGCCACACAGGTGAAGTTATGTTCACAATGGTGAGCAAGTTTTTGATAATGTTTTGTCTTGATTGGACAAATCGTCTCCTTGGTTTGACGACGGACGGAGCCCGCAATATGCTTGGAAGGATTACTAGGGTTGTTTCTCGCCTTGCTGACGTGATGCACAAGGATTGTACTTTAATTCGGATTTGATGCGGAACGCATCAACTAGATCTAGTTATGGAAGAGTTGATGAACAATGTCATCAAAGAACAATTTTTTGCAGTGATGACTGGATTCATTACTCACTTGTCACGACAGCAGAATTTGATCGCGGAAATGCAAACTACATGCGCTCGTGTCGTGAATCGTTGGCTTTCGACGGAAAAAGTCATCACTTGGTTCAAAATCCATCGAACTCAGTTACTTGTTCATATCAACTCAAAGCAACTAGCTTTCGCTCCATCTCGACTTTGATGGGTTGCACTTCTTTCTATGCATCATTTCACCACACAAGCAGCTATCGCTTTTTGGACTATTGAAGGGTTAACGACTCTTGTACTTCAGCAGCAAAATGCTTTGGACAACCTTGTGGCAACTTTTATTGCCGACGTTGGAGTAGTTGGACCGCTCAACACAGAATCAGTTGAGAATGTTGATCTATCGACTCATGTCATAGTCGGTCATTATGCTGTTGCTTTATCCAGTGTTCAAGAATTTCTCGTTGGTCTGGCTTCTTGTGTTGAACCCTTACTTAACGAAGCCACTGAAAGCGATCTAATCGATCTTCAACAAGACATCGCTCTTGTTTATGTCACTGTCTGCCATCGGATCCGTGAAACTTGTGCTTTTCAAGATCAAAACAACAATGCAATGATTGATTCGGTTCTATTTCTCCAGTGCTACCACATGAGCTCATCAAACTATCTGCAGCAGATTTTATCCGAAATATTCGGCAACATGCTTTTCGATTGAAGCATTCTTATTCATCTGATATCATAGGTGATGAGCACAAAACTCTAATCCATGCTCATAGATGTGAGCTAGTGATTCAGAGCGTCATATGATTTAGAGGGAATTTTCAAAACAAAATTTTTATTAAATATTTGTTAGTGATCAAATTGTTCTATGAGTAGAAACTGTTTTGTCTGCATAACCCCTTTTAATCCAAAGTTTGATAATCTTTTCTGAAACAAATCTTTTTCCCAACGCAAAATTGAGTACCAAATGAAGATTTAGGATTTAGGACCAACCGACTCTAATCCATGCTCATAGATGTGAGCTAGTGATTCAAAGCGTCATAGATTCGCTTTACAGTAGTTAAAGTTTCAAGGACGGCTGGTCTTCATTTGGTACTCAATTTCCAAATTTGATGGAATATTGTGATGTAATTGCAATGTTTTTTCTTGAAACTAGTACAGTAAAGTCTGATTTCTCAATTTTGCGTTGGGAAAAAGATTTGTTTCAGAAAAGATTATCAAACTTTGGATTAAAAGTGATTATGCAGACAAAACAGTTTCTATTCATAGAACAATTTGATCACTAACAAATATTTAATAAAATTTTTGTTTTGAAAATTTTGGATTAAAGTTAGTCATGAAATCAAAATAATGTTTTTTTTTCTCTGAACAATTTTTGTTTACAGATATTTAATAGAAATTTTGTATTGAAAATAATCGAATTTTATTTTTTATGGAATTAAATTAGTCTAAATTAAATTTTCAAGAAATCAAAATAGCCTAAATTAATTTTTTCAAGAGACTAAATTAGTCTAAATTAATTTTTTTAGAGCCCTAAATTAGCCTAAATTAAAATGTTTAAATGACCAAATTAGTCTAAATTAGTTTTTTTAAAGAGACTAAATTAAGCGTATTTAGGTAATTTAGGCGGGTGACTATTATAACCATGCCATGTGACACGGCATATGGTAGATTTTCCACATGCAAAATAGACAATGGGGGTGTAGTTAGGCTTTTAAAGTAAAAAGTTGAGTTAAAGGGAAACTTCTAAAGTACAAGTTCAGGTTGGTTACCAAAGGTCATTGTCAAAATCGGAGTACTGATTATCATAATTTCTGCTCTAGTATCAAGGTATGGCTTGATTTTGATGTTCTTAGCTTTGGGAGTTGAGAATGATTGGAAAGCAGAACATTTTTTTGAAATGGAGAATTCAAGGAGTCAATTTATATGGATTTACCTAACGTTACTTTTTTCGGATGGAAAAGTATAATGTTTGAATGTCATCCTATGGACTGACGCAAGCATCTAGAAGGTGGTCTTAAGAGTCAAATAGGTTTTTTTTAATGAGCAAAACTTTAAGAGAGCACCTTCAGATTTGAATATATAAAGTAAGAATGTAACACCGTACAATGCAGCCTATGTAAATGATTTGATGTAGTTGGAGAAGGTATCAGGGCAGTAAAAAAACATCATTTCTTATCTTCGCTCTATTTTCTACACGATGATACTAGGTACCACTAAGCTACTGTTAGGTATCAACATTGAGAAGAAGGAGAAGTACGGGTAGATCAAAATTAACGAAACCAAGTATAATGAGACCAGGCTACGAGAGGATATACAATGTATGACAAAAATATGTTAACATATGAACAACATGTGCAATTGATAAAATTTTGATTAGGAATATTTTGTACATTTTTTATTATATTATTAAAATTATAGATTTGAAGTTTTTCCTACTAAAAAAATAAAAAAATAAAAAATTCAAATGCTGGAGGGCTTGTAAACCCCCAGTCAGCCTCAGGCCGTCTAGGCCCGCAAGCAGCAGGCCAGTTGCCCAAGGCCGAAGCGGAAGGACTGATGCTAAAGCCATTAGTCAGGAATGCGAAACCTTCTTAAATGAGAAACTCAAATGGCTATCGAGAAGGGCGATGTCCTTCAGGGTACTTTGTTTTGTCGGACAAAAACAAAGGCCACTTACGACCAACTCTCCCTTGCAATACCTTTAAGTTAACTGTGGAAAGTCCTTTAATCTATATCTTAATTCCAAAAAAATGCAAAATTTTTTGGGCTTCACCTTTAAGTTTCATAAGTTGAGAATTTTTTCAAAAACATTATTTTATGTAAATTTTTTTATGTATTATAGTTGTCGAGTCTATAAAATTTTTTATTATATAGTTTGGAGTCGATTGATCTCGTATCAAACAATTGATGTCATCAGTTGAAATCACATTGCATTAGTCATTGCATAAAAAGCCAATTTTCTAATTTTTTGAAATTTATTAATATATATAAGACACATCAACAATCAAGTTGAAAAGTTTATTATTGCAAATGACTACTGGTTGAAATCGTATCAAAGTATGAGTTGAAATTTTTTTTGGTTCATTTTTAATCACTTGTGGTTTGAAATTTAAAAGATAATAAATCTCACCAATCTTAAATGGAATAATGAATTTACGATCTACATTTATCTCCACAATAACTCAATAACATCTATTGGTTTACGACTGAGAGCTGTAATGCAATGTACATCTTTAGAATTTCACATACAATCCAAAAAAATCTATGAGCAACAAGATTTTTCCATGCTGACAGGCAAGCGGAAGTAAGCGCACGTTCGAAACGTAAGCTGCAGTATTAATCTAGGGAACATTTATATCATTTTACATGAGACAAAATATGATTGTTAGTCAAACTTCTCAACAGTGTAGTTTGCTCGGTGTCAGATTTGTTGCAAAATTAGAGGTTGGACATGATCGAAATTCAGGTAGATTTAGTGGTTGCCGATTACATGTAGATGGAGGCCTATAGAGTGATTTGTACAAAGATGACATATTTTACAGTATCATTTCACAATTACATTCAAAGTAGTGACCATTACTCCACGCGTGTCCAAACAGTAGGAAAAGCGGAAGGGTTCCACTCCCAGTCAGTTTCAACACAAAATTGCATCAAACGTTCCTAAGTCACCACAGTGCTAGACATCTTACCTTTGATACTTCAGGTGGTATGTCCGATCAGCCGCAGATGTAATTAGTTACAAACAGACCTCCATTTCCCACCATTGGATTTGAGGATATCGCTTACTGGGCTACATGCTATGAATCTGGTTATTCTGATTAGATACAGTTATTTGCTTTATTATAGCCTATTGAAAGTGATGTCCATTTATAAAAGTTGTACCCGATCTGCCCATTCCCACGTTTATGACAATGCTCAATGTGAAGAGTCGTCATTCAGGCTGGTCATCACAATACGTTGTTCGCATCACAACTTGACTTGCTCATGGTTGATATATGGAAATATACCTTACGTTCTTCTTCGGAAAAAGTTCCGATACTTCGAAGAGAAACAAGCTTTAAGAAAGATGGTTGATAGGACTTCAGAGAAAGGCGCAAGGACATTCTACACAGCCTAAATTAACTTCGAGATCTGGTCCAAGTTGAGTGATGGTCCGAGTTCAGGCAAGTGACAACATAACAAAACGAAATGACAAGAGAAAAGGCGCGAGATAACAGCTCTCACGTTTTACTCGGTTATACCACTCTGATCCGCCTTCAAGCCTAATTTGGCTCGTGGCTGATTGAATAAATTGATCTCGTAAAGAACGGTGGAGAACCCTAGGCTTAAGCAAAATTAATGGCTCTCCTCATGATACATACGCTGCCTCCACTACTACTCATTGCGATGGCTTAATTCCGAGTCCACTGTTTATGAATGATTAAATACAGTTCTTTCTTCCAACTGGTATCTAAGGTTGCTGAAAACCCACATTCAGATGGGTGGATATGCTGAACCCTTCAAGGGCGTCTGAAGTTCACACCAGCGTAGCGGACTCCCGGGAGCTCATCTTCAATGCGAAGCAACTGAGTATAACACCCAACAGAACCAGTTCAAGGCATCAACAAGTAGATAAGCTTACTGATACAGAAGCTACGAACAAAGCCACTTTCTTACAGATAGAAAGTGGAGATCAGACAAGACGAAGGGAAATATTTGGTTGGAAACGATAACTCTAAAAAGTTTCACATGGCCAAGAGTCATTCTCAAAAGACAAGGTAACGATGTTGGAATGAACGTTACCTGGTTGTATTTTGCAAGACGCTCGCTTCTGCAAGGAGCTCCAGTCTTGATCTGAAGACAAGGGGGACATCAGCAAATCAGTGCACTTGGGATATTTGTTTTGAAACTTGATCAGCCTGTCCGTCCGTCGAACACAATAGGATCACAAATATGCGTAGAAATAAACCCACCTGACCACTAGCCAGACCTACTGCGAGATCGGCTATGAAGGTGTCCTCAGTCTCTCCACTGCGATGGCTGACCATAACGCCCCAACCGGCAGCCTTTGAATCAAGTGCAGCCTGAATGGACTCAGTAACAGAGCCGATTTGATTAACCTGCACAACGCTGACGCTGTTCAGTACCAGGCAATCACTCTCCTCAAGAAACTCGATTGACTTTGAACGTCTGAGATTAACCGTCCGTAGAGGTCGTCACCTTCAGAAGAAGGGCGTTGCATGCTCTTTTGGTGATGGCTTCGGCAATCTTCTTTGGGTTAGTGACAAGTAGATCGTCTCCAACGAGCTGAGCATCCATTCCCGATTGAAGGTTTGCCCACGAGCTCCAGTCATCCTGGTCAAACGGGTCTTCGATCGAGACAATCGGGAATTCCCTGACGAAGGATTTGTATAGTTCACCTAGAGCTTCTCCTGTGTAGATGTTCTTGCCGTCATTGTTCTCCTCCTTAAAGTCAAGGTCATATTTGCCGTCCTTTGTGAGAAACTCAGATGCCGCCACGTCCATACCGATTTTCACCTGTTCAGAAAATAGTCGGAGTCACATTTGAGAACATATGAGGTGTACTGACTCGACCATCCGTGTACAGATGATGCAGCTGCAGTGTGGCAATTTCTTTCTTCCCATCATAAATGCAGAGATCGCAGTCAATGCTTCGGCCGAGGGTGAGCAGACGTAGAGAAATGTATGAGTGCCGTCATTCCATGACACATGCAGCGCTAGCAGGACCGAAAACGCCAGACAAGTGTCACATACTGCAAAAAGTTATTTATACGGAAGATTTTCGATAGAAGCAAATCATTCTAGGAAAACAAACCTTGCCAGTGTAGCCTGCCTTCTCGATAGCATCCACCAGTAGAATGAGGCCTTCCCTGTTGTCTTGAATGTTAGGGGCAAATCCACCTTCGTCACCCACATTACACGCATCCTGACCGTACTTCTTCTTGATGATACCTTTCAGGACTTGGTACACTGCCCATCCATTACAACATCATCGTCTCAGAGTTCTGACATGAGTCCGACGCCATTTTGGTACAGTAGGCAGCTCTGCAGCTGTGACTATTGACGGAAAGGAAAGGAAACTAGAATCAGCGTCACTGACCTTCACAGCCCATTTGCATAGCCTCGGCAAAAGAAGAAGCGCCTACAGGGAGAATCATGAACTCCTGCATGGCCAATTTGTTGCCAGCATGACTACCCCCATTGATAACATTCAAAGCTGGAACTGGCATGACAAGTTCTTTAGTGCCTGCCAATTCCTGAATGTGGCGATACAGTGGCAATCCTTGGCCTCCAGCTCCCGCTCTGCATACGCTAAGTGACACTCCCAAAATTGCATTGGCACCCAACTTGCCTTTGTTCTGTGTGCCATCGAGTTCCAACATGATAGCATCAATCTCCCTCTGATTTCTGAACACAATAACCCACGGAATCTCTGTGAGGAAAATGTCCAGCTACGCTCCAGTTATTGTTCAGAGTTAGCAGTTTGGTATTGAAGTTGTAACCACTCAGAAGGGGACATGGCCACATCACACTAGTTTCTGAGGGGAATCACCAGCGAGAATACGTGAGAAATTGGGCACTAAAACTCGAAGCACAACTTGGTAGAAACAGCGTCCATCAGAGCACGAGGAGACTGTAAACGAGATGAAGGCAAACAGTCTTCACTCCACGAGTTAACGTCCGAGCATGACCAGGCCTGGAACCACGCTGTAGCTATTTTGTACCACGCAGTACAATAAAGAAAGAGACTGAGAGTAGAGTGAGCCGGTGACGCTGAAGTCGAAACGAATGTGAATCACAGAAAGCACACGACAGGACCTGTAAGTCTCGTTTAAAAAACACGGACTGCTTTCTGTACCATAAGACAGCGGGACGACTATGAAAGTATGAGTGCACTATGATGACCATCGGAAGGTACACAAGGAGGTCAGAGGTAGCAGTCGAACATCAAAGGGCAGAAAGACAAGCACTCAAGATCCACCAGCAATGGGCGATACAGAAAGGTACGTGGAAAAAAAATCCTTGTAAACAGAGCAATCTCAAGACTCCTCGTTTCTCCTTGGAATATCGGGGAAAAATGCAAAAGAGAATGGAGACCAAAGGCTTCTTCCCGAAAAATATACTTTTCTATCGAGAATCATTTCAAGGGCTGCGCAGAAGTGACAGCCGCACACAGTCTCTCTCGCCCTTTCATTGAACAAGTACCTTGAGTCCAGACCAATCAACTTGGGCGCAAGCACATTGTTGATGTTCTCAACAGCCTTCAAAACTCCCTTTCCTCCGAATACCTTCTTGTCATCGTCGCGCAACTCAAGAGCCTCATAGATTCCAGTGCTCGCTCCGCTGGGCACGGCTGATCGATACAACTGATCAGTAACCAGATCGACCTCGACGGTGGGATTGCCGCGGCTGTCAATAATTTGTCTCGCCTTGATGGACTTGATTTTCGTCTCCTGCTTCACGGCAGCCTGCTGTTGCGTGGCGACTGCAACTACCTTCACGCTCCTCCGACTACTGAAGGCTCGCTCGGTAGTCGATCTCACGCCCAATGCCACAGATGCCCCGACGAACGACGACACCGAAGATGCCAATGCCGCCATTGCAACGATTTCTCGTCTGCTCCTCGAGAAGAAATGACGTTTACGGTCGCCCCTGATTTCCGCCTCGTGCCTCCCCAAGAGAAATTGACTCGCAGCTGCGGGTGCCGAAGAAACTTAAAACCGCAGCGCCTGCAGCGTCAGAGCCCGAGCGCAGATGGGGGAGGATTGAGGAGATCAAGGGCGGGCGGCGTCGGGGATGACGACGGGCGACACGGCGGGCGACGAGCGCAGAGCTGCCAGCCTGAGCTCCCGACGAGCGAGAGGCAGCCCGAGAGCGCGCCCTGGACAGAGTGAGGACACTCTTGGCTCTTCGAACGACGCACAGCGGACGACGACCTCGAGCACCCCGACGACATTCCCATCTCCCTGACGTCGCGCTCGTCGTGCAACTCCTCCACGGGCTCTTCTCCGCGCCTCCGCGACGGCGCGGGATTAAGATTCCTTGCGACCTGGTTATCATCGCCCGCCTCGTTCAGGATCATGCGCTTGTCGTGTGATATATATATATACACCAAACTCTTGGACAAGGATACCAAGTCATATAACAAAACGAATCCATTTTTCATGTGAAGGCTGAAGGAGGAGTTTTAATGACACACATTTTTATGTACGTGGAAGTGCATGCTGCCTTTTCTTATGCTTCAAGGTTATTTTCGTCCTTTGTGACATTATCAAACATTGCAGTTTCATGAGTGACATGACATGTAAAATTAAGTCATATTTGCTTTTGGATTTGGTGTGAAAGAGTATGCTTATTATGAATCACATGTCTTTGGCTAATTGAGCACATTGTGTAAGACATCTATCAAATAGAGATGATGTGTTTTTGTGGCACATGAACTTAAAACGTAATATCACTGATGAAAAAATATATCTTCAATGCTCACAAAGAGGTATCAGCTAATATTAATTATCATCAAAAGATCCTTTAACGTCTACTCTACAATGTAAATAGAAAATATAATTTATGTGTAATATGACCTATTGTCCATTGTGAAACTACCAGGGCCTATCTTCTAAACCCATTAGGGTCCATATAATGGTTGCTTGACAGGTATTCTTATCTTCTTCGCTAGAACACTTGTTGCCCCCCATCAGAAAATATCGTCTTTCATGTCCATACGGTATTATACCTTCGAGCCAAAGCGAATGAGGCAGATTTTGTAGGTACGCCGGTCTGTTACGGGGCTATGATAAGACTGACGCAAAGATCGGCTGGTTTCAGACTCTCATTTAATCTGAAATAGAGAGAAAATATAGATTTGCGAATTTATATCCAACGCCGCAAAAGTCAGTGAGGAAATTCTCAAAATTTGCCGGTCCGTCTTTCAAAGACTGCCGGGCCTAGGCGGCGACCCGATGTGTCGTCCTGAGGGGTGGGACGAGACGGCTGTCTAAAATTACAGATGTTGGAAGCATCTTGGCTGACGAGCCCTTTGGTGACCTCGGACGGCCACGAGACAAGCGAGTGAGTCCGTCTGTCGGCCCGGTCCTCCTCTGGTCCGCCCGATTCCTGCAGCGGTAGGTTTGGCAGCGTCATTGTTCTCATAGCCTCGCCTCGCCTCGCCTCCGTCGGTTTGGCGCCTCCATTCGAAAAAGCAAGCGGGCTTCGCTGCCTCTGTTTTGACTCCTCCTCCTCGATTGAATCGACGATCTGAATTTGGTCGACCGTGGTCTCAATTTGGACTCAATCGGACCTCGTGGGCAAGTAGAGAGAATTTCACTTTCCAAGTGTTGGTCCTGCGGTAGTCTAAGCGTAATGATGCCTTCCGTACCGTCAAGACAAGGATAGTTCAACCGGAAAGGACATGTTGAAAAGTGCATACAGTGCTTGACGACTTGGCCGGATGCGCCACCAACTTGAGCCATTGAGCCATGGTTGTGCATTGGCCTGTCCAAAGGACGTGCCAACCCCTTGCCTTCCGTCTCCTCCAAAGACACTGGCGAATGAAATGGTGGATGTGGTGGAGCGATGGGCGAATGTGCCGGAAAACATAACGTGAATGAATCACGGAGGCCCCCTGGTCCGAGGCTGATGGAGGGAGGGAAGCGAGCTGAAAGAGAGATCGGGATGCCCCTTGAGTAATCGGCAGTTGGTGGAGCAAGCATGTTGATCTGTCCAGGAACCATTCGAGGTTGTTGGAGAGGCAACAGAGCCAGTGGGCGTTAGTTGGTGATGTCAGCTTCTGGGGTCCAAGCGAGTGGGCAAGTACACGCTTTCCCAGATTCCAGATTCAGAGGACCTTCCTTAGCAGAGTCCGGATGCGGAGGATCGACGCCAGGCAGCTTCGTGTCCGCCCCTATGCGAGGAGCTTCACAAATCGTTGGCACAATTCTCCTGATACCTGTGGTCTGGGCTCCAAAGAGCGCACACGGTTCTAACGGCGATGATATTAACCCTCGCCGGAAGAACCGTGAGTGTGGTGAGTTTATTTTTGGCAAGTCTTAACATATTTCCTCACATTGATCATATGCCTGGACTTGACGAACCATCTTCCAATAACCAAGTGTTAACAAGAGAAAGAGAAGAAAAGATGATCCGCAAGTTCACCTTTTCGCTTTTTACAATTCCGGTCCAACAATAAGAAAGTACTCCCCATAGCCGCTATGTTCACACTCAAAGGCCTTGATTGGAAAATTTACTCTCGAAGCCAAATATACATACTTTTCCTATTGAAACATGAGCTTGTACCAGAAAAAGGTGTAAAACATGATAATGAGACTAAGGGCTCAATATAATAATCCTCGAACGGGGCTTCGTTCTCCACCCCTTTGCGCCCCAAGAGTCACGTGAATCGTGATATGATCCTCCTTATCCTATTGTCAGAACTCTTTACCGTTGCTGACATTGGCCAGTGCACGCTGAACCAGGACGAATGTTATCGCACTCCATCAGTCAGAATTTCTTGATGACCATCACTCCTCTGATCAGAAGTGTAGATTATTCAATTATCTCGAACTGTCTTTTCTCTTCTACCTTGTCATTCTGCCGAAGCCATATCTATTTGGTTTGCTGCGTTTATCAAGAAGACCTGGCGGCTGCTGTCTCACCTGTCTAACTTTACATCAACTCCATTCGGGATATCGCCCCTCTTAACACACCCAATCGGGTGAAAATGGAGCAGTCAATATATCGATTCACAGTCAGGCAACGGTTGGAGAAAAGGACTGAACACACAAGCTAGGAATGAAGCAAGCATTAAAACTACGAGCTCCATGCTGCACTCATGAACAATGAAGGGATGGTCTCTTTTATATTAATCCCACGCAAGTTTACTATTAAGACAATGTGCCTTTACGTTCTCAATCAAAATATGAGGAGAATGCGCATATATGGCAACAGACAAACAAACAGATTACCTTGGCTATTTTTCAAGAATAAATTCATCAATTTGCAGACCTGTGTGCCGAGCACCCGCTTGTAAGCTGACAATGACTTTGTCTCCAGGCTTCATTTTCGTGACAGGCAGAGCTCTTGTCTCTGCTATGCCTTCTCCAGCTGGTAAGTCTACATACTCGAACCATGTAAGATCAAACTAAATCAGAGTATTGCATCCGTCCGATATAACTTACAAGTAGCACGTATGAAAATCCAAAGGTACATTTTTGATACAGAATATAAATCCATCCGCTCTTCTTAGAACATGTGCTCACTACGTCCCTTCATGCTTCACGCACGTAGTATGCCAGACCAAAAGGAATAGAAACAACTCCTGTAGGTTGAAGTTTCTCCGACTAAAGCATGAAACCTGGACCTGTTTAGAAAGACAAAGTAACATTTCATATTGAAACAGAGAAGAAATCACCTGACGCAGATGGAGAAACAAGGCAAACTGTTTCTGCATTTTGAAGGAGAAGACTGCAGGTTGAACCTTCAAACTGCAATCAAGATGAAGTAATTGACATGTTCAGATCAACAAGCCATTGGAAAATGGTATCAAAACAGACAATTATAGACGATTTTACCAAAGTAGTGAGAATGTTGTGCGATGTGCTCTTGACAGTTCCCAAGTTGATTGAAGGTCCGAGAAAGATACGTACCTCCACTTCAACAAGCATAAGTGGCCGGGATTCAATTTTCACTCTCCCCACAGTAACAGGACGAGTTTTCCCATCAGAACTTACAGCTAGGACATCTGCACCACTGCGAAGCTCTGAAAGATACGAAGTGCGGCCACCCGGAACTGCCACATACGCGTGTACAGGACCCTGCCTTCCAGAATACATCAGTGATATTTAAAAAACTTCTATACGATCCTCATGTAAGCTTGGCATCACAATCATTCGACACAACTTCTTAGATGTAATCTAGTCGACTAGATTACATCTAATCGACTTATGTGGTGATCACACTAAGAGGAATCGGCACTTAGGACAAGAGCCGAAGTATGGTACCAAGAATGATTTCGAAACGAATGCAGTGTGAAGTTGAACTTGATACACAAGAGAAGATAGGGACAGAAAATGGAATATGTTGATTACCGCATTCACTCGAAATGGGCGGCTAGCAACATAGTCTGACGTCAAACACTCTGAGTGCACCAAGAACAAGCCCCTGGCAAACGATCCCACCTACGATAAACATATCACAAAGCTTGATCGGACGAAATGTCGCTAGTGATACAGACTTCCAAGATTTTACAACATATGCAAATCTTTCAATTGTCATCGAAGTGAAGGGGGAACGCACTCAATATTACGAAGCATATAGTTTACTCATCGGGGCTATGTTGTGAGTGTTCAAGCTATGTTTCAAAATGACAGGTGGGCATACCACGAAATACGTTGAACACAATCCTTAGTGAAATGGAATCCTTACCAGAAGACCTTCACCAGGGCTCATGAGGTTACAAAGATCCACACACACTCGATCTCCCATGCCGCTTGCTTCAACTTTAACAACTGTACCCACTTGGAGGGCTATCTTGTTCTCCTCCTCTGTCCTCGACGCCAGGTAGGCCTGGTTGAGTTGATATACAGTATATGAATCAGGGCCGAGAGGCTGAAGAATTACGCTTCTACTAATGCACACGAAACTGGAAGAATCGAAGAGCAACACACATGCAACTATGGCTTTCTAACGAGATCCTTTATGGACGTGAATTTCACCTTCAGAGAGAATATCTCGGCAGGATCTTCTGTTTGAAGTACCACTCCATCAGTCCCTCTCTCCAAAGCCTAACATGAACAAAACACTGATATTCGACTCAACTTACGTCCAACTACCAGATCTACCCTTCATTCAAGAACGAAGTTCAATCAATTCACCCAAACTCATTACTTCTAAGACTCAGTCAACAAAATCAAGAAACCCTACTCCACTTTTAACCAAGGCAGGTGGATTGACGAAAAACCTCAGTTGATTCATTCAAAATAGAGAGTAGCCATAGTAGCCGTCTTTAGTTTAGTAGCAAACAAAGATGAATATGAAAGGAAGGAAATTGACGAATACAAGTACTTCTACTCACTGAGAACCCACATCATCAGTCAGTATTTTGAATCTCAGCATACAGATAAATCCCACCTCGAAGTATAACCTCGCTTCCAAGGCATTTGCAGCAGTGGCAAATAGAGTAGTGTTTGTATCTTGAAATGCAGCAACCATGTTCTCAGCCGTTATGATCTGAAAAGCAGATACCCGTGGGGAAGTGATCAATTATTCTCTTGATTTCATGCTCTCTCAGATGCTAGACCATCGAAGACAATCTTAGCAAGGATGACAACCTTACTGATCAGGTTCCTCCGGAGAAATGAAGAGAACACCGAGAAGTCTTCCAGTTCCGTGATTTTTCAAAACCTTTTGCTACGAAAATTATTGTAGTAATTATGAACGTAAAAAAAAAACCAGCGACGTAATTGGTTATACAAATGTAAATCGTCTAGGATTAATCAAAAAATATGTCGATCCTCACGTGTACGAAGATGTTCAGACTAAGAATGCATTCATAAACTCACCTGCCAGTCTACAGCAGACATAACAACAGTCTCAGCCTGTCCCACCAGTGCCTTCACATCGTCCTGACCAAGGCCAGATGAAACCTGGCCTAGGAGAGCAACGGCATTTCCTTCCGAGTCTTTGATTACTTCGTCTCGAAGGAAAAGAGTCCGAATTTTACTCAACGCTGCGAGGAAGGGAAGATGTCACTTATGTGCCCATAGGACGGAAGAATCTACAAGCTCATATCCAAAGATTACTTCTCTCTAGTCTGCTAAATCCGGTACCTCCTATTCTATGCTAAAGCTCGTTAGCTCACAAATAGAATAGAAGCTAAGCCAAGCTAGAGCAGCGCCAGTACGATTGTCTTCACACCAATTCTACCTCAAGGATCCCAGGTATGCGAAATTCGCTTGTAATTAAGACACATCAAAGATGAAGAACTTTGGAGTTTGTTAAGTCTACGTGAAATTGGCGAGGCAGTTGCTTCATACGAATATCATCAAAATGTGATTTGATTCGAAGAATGAAATCGAATGTTCGATCGCAACAAATATCAAAGGCATTCAGGTGCTCTACAAACCACATGCGTCGTGGTTTATCAGAAACCGATTAGTGCATGAAATCAATTACAATTGCCGTGGGGACACTCGAAATTCAGAGGTAAGCCAGCGTACACTGCCAAGAGTCCGCAAGAATTTCAGTTTCCGGAGTAAAGACGAAAGTGTTCCATCCGCGCTCAACAGAAGCTGTCATCACCTCCTTATTCTGCGTCCACACCCACACTTTCTTCTCCACCTTGGTCGGTCTTCTCGCCGAGCAAATTGCCAGGCCGGGCCGAAATTTATTCCCTCCGCCAGGCAGCAACGTGCCCAAGGTCGCACCGGGCTTATACAAATTCGGCAACATCAGTCCTGACTGCATCGTTTTCGAAGACAATGTTCAGCCGAAGTCGTCGCCTCGTCGATGTGTCGAGCTCCAGTCTGGATCAGAACCTGATGCCCTCGGCCCCCATGGACCTCGCCTCCGGGGAATCTCCCTCATTCAAAAGAGAAAGTGATTCGAATCTTTGCGCTCGCCGTCCTCCCCGCGGCCCAGCGACAGAGCATCAAGGCGCTCCCTTGCTCCAATACATTCAACTTGTGGCCAAAGCGTCGAATGTAGACGTTGCGAATCGTGATGTCTAATAAAGGAGAAGGTGATTTTGAGACAGAACCCAGTGTAGTAAGAAGTTATCGAGGCAGCCGTAGTTGCAGATTTCACGGCTGCGGGTGAGCTTTAGAAAACCATTCATGCGGTGCGTGTCTCGAGATCAAGATTGCCATAAGATGAGATGTGTGAAAGCTTCGGGGAATTCCAGAACTTGGCGGAACAAAATTTCCTCGAATTCATTTGCAACTTGGGCCTTTACATAAAGGTAATCTCCTCGAGTATCCCATCAATCCTCTAGAGTTTGATTCGCCTTCATCTACTTTGGAAAGCATATATCTTTAATATGGGATCCATTTGCATGTTGTTGCTCCTCAGCGCGTAGCAAATTAGAAAACTCAAGTGAAGACTTGGTTCCTCGTCACATAGCCATGAGTCATATAAGGTATGCATTCTGCACCCATCTCTGCACTATCTTTTCCTCCAAACAGCTCGCCGTTATTACACATCTCGATTGCTCTGGCTTGAACTGTAAATGACAGGTGGCCTGAAATCTAACGCTTCTCCAAACTTTGACAATAAGTTGATAGATATTGATATATTTAATAGATATTGATATATTGGAACCTTGCTACTCTTTACACATCTACATACAAAGATACCTTTGGAGCAGTCTTTTGTCCCAGGACTAGCAGGAGAAATCCCACCATGGTGTGTATGATGATCTTGCACATGCGCGGAGTCTCGTCAGGAGTATATCGGATATTTGTGAATCCTTTATATATGGCTGGTGAAACAATAAAAAAATAAATAATTATAGTCTAATATCTTCTTTATAACCTTCTCTGCATATCATACATATTTCTATTATCTTTCGTTTGCTGGACTCTTACACGTCGCCTTCGGCCACGTTGTACTTATCGTTCTCATGGCTTCAGAGGGCTGTGTGTTATCTTACCGTATTCGGTTTCTTATACTCATTGTATAATGCTGTCGTGATCAGCTCACTCCAATCCGAGACATGACCTTTAGACGAGGCGTTTAGTGCGTTACAGTGTAAGAAGTTATGTAACATCGACATGTATGTGTATGATCTGCACTCGTCAGAAAACTCCGATGAGTGCAGACCTAAACACCTGAACTTCGGCTCTAACTCTTGGGCGACCCGCGCGACTTGTAGTAGAGATAAAAAATATACCTCATTTAATGGCAGGAAGGCACCGAGCATTCAGTGAGCTGGAGCCCCGTAAGAGTATACTCACAAAGTTTACATAGGTATGGAGCCACTCGGCCTTTGACAAATAATTCCCATCGAGAACCTTCGGAGGCATCTGGAATAGGGGATATGCACTTAAGTTTAAGACTAGTTCAGACTGAATACTATCGACCTCGGAAAGTGAAGTTCAAGGTTTCATGTTTAGAGGTTGTAATCGTTTCTGCGTCTGAAAATCTAATTTGCCGCCTCCAGCAGAATCAAATCTTCCCCCACACGACTGCTGCATTCACGGCTTCAAGCAATTGACTCACGAATACTTCTTGCATTAAGTGTATATATGGTCGCCTTCTGATAAGTGACCGTGATAACACATTGACACTCATCCCACCTAAAGAGTAAAAACTGAAGATTTCCAGTCGCTCAACTGAAGTAGCAAAGAGTGGATCAATCGAAAAGCGCCGGCTAGTTCGATATCTTGCCTGTCATGGGCTCAGTGCTCGATGGCAGCCTGAACCGACCCCGTGCGGACCGTTCGCAGAATACATTTCCCGGAATCTTGGTGTGACGGAAAAATGATCTGTAGGAGGTCGTCGTTATCGAGACTAGCACAAACCTAGCGAAGGTTGATACAAGATTAGAATCCATAAAGGTCCGCATCTTCGAACATAAACTTGATCGTCGAGAAGCAAGAAAAGTATTCAACTACGAAGAAATCTGCGTAGTCACTTCTTCGCCCGATAAGAATCACTTCCCGTGCTGAGCTGAGTTCTCGTCACCTGATCCTAGCACGTAGGAAAATGCATAGCAGTGGACCCTGCTGTGTTCAGATCCTGACAAAGTCCTTGAGGATAGTACAAAAGTGAGCAATCACGTGCAAGCAACTTATTTTCTAGCAGCAGACGCGTGTAAAGTTTGTCACGTTTCCCAACACACTCTCGTGGGAGAACTCTCGTGAAAAGGACAGGACTTCATTCCCTGCGCTCCGTCCAAATACGATATCTCGAGGGAAAAGAAGCATTTGACGTCACTGGATAGTTCGGATTCAAGAATATATGCGGACACGAGTAAAACGAGTGCTCTCAAATTCGGCGTGCAATGCTCCGCTCGCCAGGTCCCTTTTGAACCCGAAAACGCACTTCGAAAATCCACATATGCTTTTGATAGAACAACAAGACGGTGGGCTATATTTCAAATATTCTAACAGCCTGTGACAGTCTCTCTTCAATCAAATTGAACTACACAATGTTCCTATACAGAAAAAAGATATGGCAGGGAAAAAAGATGGGCTCAAGCCCTCCGAGGATTACCAAATTAGGCAAGGTTCATGACTCTTCACGGTCGGCCTTTAACAAAAATATACAGTGTCGGGCCCCGAAAACTGCACCAACATGCTCCTCGGCAACACTAACAATATCAACTCATACGCATCATAGGTATGACAGGGCGACCAGAACACCCTGCAGCGGTTGAAGACTGTCAGATACCTAGAATCTTGTCATTGCACAAGAAACTGTATTGACAATGACCAAATTTCCACTCTTGAACTTTCAAAACCTGTTCACAATCTCTGAACCCAATGTTGACCTCCGTGCTTAAGTTCCAAGCCTCTCGTCTTTCATCGATCTCGACTTCACATCTTCATAGGCGCCAAAACTGGAGTAGCTGGCACGCACTTCAGCATCATATCTTCTCAGGTTCTATGAAGCCTGATAATCACTCCGTGACATCATTGGCATGAAGTACTGGAACATCACAAGCGCCTCTCTTCCTTCAGTTCGCAGATGTCTGGGGTTGACTTGGTCTCCTTTGTGCTCCAAGATAAATTCTGTTGGATGACATATATTGGTTTCCTGGTCGTGTATGTTTTACACTTTAATTCTACTACTATCTTACACTAAGTCTTTCTTGTTTAGAAGCTAAGCATTGGTCACTAAACTCTCGAAAGGCCAAGAGACTAATAAATCGTTCAGTGTAACACTACTCGTACAAGCTCCACATGCATTTGCATCTGTAAGACCAAAAGAATCACTTTAATGTGTTGACTCACGGCCGACTCGCAATGTGTGGGGCGCCCTGCATATAAAAAGACATGCGCTCATCTAGTTCAGAACAAGCAGTTAAATACAGACCTCTCTTCGACCCAGTCCATGGTCACAACTGCATATGACATTCTAAAGTCAGCAGCAATATCAAAAGAGGAAAGGAAAGGACGGATTCATACCACTGGTTTTGATTACTGATGCCTAATCCATTGCACGTCAGAATCAACCCCTTGAATCGATTCAAATATTCCTGCGATAACGACGGACATCAGCGGAATAAGATTTATCCACCTTCAGATTTGTCTTTAAGCCTCTCAGCCTCACCACCTGCCGACTGAGAGTGTGATCGAATATACGATCATGAAAAAGTCGACCCATAGGGTCAGAAGGAGACCTCAAAACCTCCAAATTACATATCCATCTCCAATAAGGTTCTAAGAAAAGATACGAATGAATCAAATACTTGTAGCAGATGAGAAGGATTCGACGTACAATGATACTGTACTCTTGTACAAAATCTCCTTTCATATCATATTCCAGACGCTTCGCAGGATCACTAAGAACTGCGGTAAGAGTAAAGAAACACAAATCAGAAGTTTGTATACAAACTATATAGCAGATGTAGTCTTCAGCTTTAGAGTACTCTAGACCCAGATAAAGAAACTCAGCTTTATCACTGGCGCTTTAAGCTAAAGCTCTTTCTTTCTTCAAAGGTGGAAGGTGTTGACAGGAAAACTCAACTGAATGCATACTACTGAATCTTTCATTCAAGCGTAGAAGGAATTTACGATATCGCATCTGCTATCTCGGAAAAGTTGAAAAACACAAACCTCGATATGCCTCGTTAATCTCTTGAAATTTCAAGGTTGCCCCGTCCTCACCAATATGTTTGTCCGGATGCCACTTCTGAGGGTACGAGACGATAGATCACCACGAGGCAGAACTGACTCAAAACTAATGCTTTGCAGTAAGAAGTTGTCTGTAATTCAAAATAGAGGACCTCATATATTGCAACGTAGAACATTCTTGACTGCAAATGACAAGAGTTACAAGCAGCAGTACTAACCAGAGCAAGGCGTAAATAATTACTGCGAATTGAATCATCTGTTGCATCATAATTCACTCCCAGAATCTTGTAGAAATCCTGAAAAAGAGCACCAACAAGCGTGATTAAGCACTTGGCAAAGGGCATTCGATCACCTACTCCTATAGTCGGTTTTGTCTTGCTTGCCCTTAGCTTAGGGTATAGTTACTTATAAATTCAGAATGTTCACATAGATATTTGTAGTCGTCAATACTCAGAGAAGATTGAGTATGAAGTGTAGGCATATCAAACTCAGGTGTAAAAAGAGAATACAGAGAAAGCATAGTAAAGATGCGCTCGAATCCTACACTCCTCACACAAGTCCCACATGTGTGAGTCGGTACAACTGACGGTATAATGGATACAAGCAAGCTCGGTAGTTATCAGATAGACACAATCAGCAGCACGTGCTGTCACAAAGAATCCCAATGTGATATGCAAAAACACAGCCCCCCTGTGTTCTTGCAATCCTTGAGGCTAGAGTTTGAGCCTAACCTATGCCAATCTGCCCTGTATGTGGTTGAAGGATGGGCAAAATACTGCGATATGAAGGCTAGAGGCTAACAATTACTAGAGGGAGAGAAATTTAGAAAGTGCTCGTAACAATCACTATTATTTCCAGGAATCTCTTCGCCCAGTACATTTTCGGTTTGACAACTGCCTGCACCGACTGACGACGAAGATTTACTACAGCCAGTAAGGTTTCTGTCACCGTGTAGTAATCAACGCAGCATGACGATCTTACCAGTTACACGGATAAACAAGCTAATATCGAAGGAAACCTTTGGAGGATCAACAAGGTGACAACAAATAACGAATAGATGCTGTGGAAGTGTTCAAGGATATCAAACAGGTATCAGCCCTGCCAAACCTAATGGATCGTACGCAGGAAATTAGACTTCTCTCAAGGTTAGACATTCGTGACACAAAGATGCCGAGCGAATTTCTTTATGACGTCCAAGGGAATTTGTTTTGTTTGACGCAGGCTCGAAAGATTGTAATTTGTTTGAATATATGCAATTTGGGAAAGCGAGTGTCGACACCGACCCTTTGGCCTTCGGAGACCAGATTAACGCCGCGGCAGCTGGACTCGCCGCCACCATTCTCCCAGCCCATTACACCGCAAATTGAGCCTTCTCCTGTAAGTTCAGGAAGACAAGAGTACTCCACCAATGCCCCCTACCATGTCCAAATCCCGGGCCGAGCAACCTCAGGTGGATACGAAACGCATCACAAGGTGTTCTCCAATCCCAATTCGATTAGAGAAACACAAATCGGCACGTCCAGTGCAACTGTTGAGAACGGATTGAAAGACTGTTGTGATCCTGCACAATTCCAAGCCGTCACACCAGCAACGTGTTCTACAAACCACGGCACATTGCGCCACCACAGGCTGGAGCTCCGAAACAACACCACTTTTGACAATATCCGTCACTCTCTGCCTTGCCTGCTAAAAACAAGCTCAATGGCCGCGGACCAAAGGAGATGTATCCAGACGAAAATCCAATCGAAACGGACGGATCAATTCGAGAGTGACAGGATCAGCCCAACCGCGTAGGAAAGGAAGAGAACCCACAACAAGACGTGGTCCCGCACAGGCTAGTGCACAACTTCCGCTTTCTCCTCTCCTCCTCCTTCCCCCACTATCCAAACCCTTTTCTTTCTGTCTCCTGCTTCCTTCTCGACTCGCTCCCGGCTCCAGGAGACGAAACACACACAACACAAGAACAGCAAAAACAATTGATGTGTAACGAGCCAGCCAGACCGACCCGAACAGCCCAGACCGTCCTGCCCAACCCCACCAGCCACCAGCAAACGATCAACTTAACTGCCACGCCATATCACATCAGCTCAACTCTCCTGTCAAGATCTCTTCAAAAATACACTACTTTATCGTAGATTCTTACTCGCCATGCTTTTCCGGAAACTCCGCTTTGGAGAAACTTACTGCGTTCGCGCACACCCCAACAAAGCCATGACTATGGGCAGCAGCATCAGCGAATACCCATCCCGGGTACAAGTACTGCCTCCGTCCCAGCTCCCCGCTCCAAGCGATTCCGCTTACTGCACTCCAACCCTACGCCCCGCCAGTGCTCCTACAGCGCGCATCTTCGATTCACCAAACGACGACAAACTCCTCCTGCCATGCTCGCCCTGCCCTGCCTTGCCTTCCGTCTTAACCCTAGATTAAGGATAACCCTAACCTCCTTTCCTCGAACCTCTCCACCAATCTCCGTCGAATCCTCCTTTGCAGCAGGCAAGTTTCCAAACCTGAACGAAAGCGTCAGCCGAAGCTGTTGAGACCTCGTGGATTAACCGGAGTCCGCCTGTGCCTCCGAGCTAAGCTCAGGAGTATCTCTCCGCTTTATGACGACTTTTCGCTATCCTTCCTTGCAATGATCGATTTGTCGTTTAGTGGAAATATAGGGTCACAAATATACAAAATCACATGAAATCTGATTCTATATCCAGTAGACCTTCCGTTGACCATGTCCCGAACAGGAGAAATTTCATTTGCTTTACCCCATGGTAATTACCGCTTGAGTTATTCCTCGTCGGACTCGGTAGACTTTAACTCGGAGTAAGACTTGGTGTGACCACTCAAGGTATACTAAGTTAATTTAAATGTAGATACGTTAGCTTTGAATTTTGTTAAGGAATATCATATTGCTGAACACTGAGATTTTCTATCTTACAATGTCATTGGTGACAACTTATATTGGGCTATTTCCATCGAAGCAGCAAACTTTTTCGTGTATCATTTTTTACAAGTATACAGAGAGTTCAGTACATTGTAATTTTTTTCTGGAGATATATTAAATTATGAATGACATGTTTTTAAAAAATGTGCGATTGGATACAAATAATAGAATTTGATATAATCATAGTACATTTTAGAGATAAGGAATTATATAATAGTCACTAAGTGAGACCATCCATAAGAAAGTAATTAAAATCATCCAAAATAATAATTCAAAATGATTTTTGAAAGTCCAACATCTATTAGATGATCATGTAATTTTGAAACAGTTAGCATGTATTACTTAATGTTAAACTTATCATGATGCTATTGGAGCCTAGACAACTCTTAATTCCTTCCACTTCATTTCTCAACATTTGTGACCAGGCTGTTATGGCAAACTCACAGCTCTTGTACCTCGCCTTATGACTTGAAGAAGTTTAGCGAGTGACGTTGATAGTGACGACCGGGTCTAGCAGTGATGGTCGGAAACGACGGTGACAAAATGTCCGTTTGTAATTTCCGTCCGTGAAAATCTTTGTCAGGTAATAGGCAAATTGGGTATCGTTGGAAAGTTCCTGACAAAATTAAAGTATCTTGATCATTGTTAGTAGTTGAGAGATAATACAAGACGGAAAAAGAAGTTACTTTTGTATCTAGATTTTTTACGGATTGAGATAACAACGCAATAGGTCGGAGAGTCTGGGATGACAATATTCATGCTTTGAAAAAACGGTGTTACGGACTTTGGAATCTAGTAGCTTGTGAGATTTTTTGTGAATATGAATGTTTCTTTCAATGAAGGCTTGCTCATTGAAAGAAGGAACAACTTCTTAGCTCTCTATGCTGACAAGAAAAAATCTCCACTCACGGATATGATTGTGGGGAAGTTTGATCATTATATGATTAATGATCAATAATTAACACCAGTAGTGATGGAAATTTTGAGCATGTGATTGAGCCAATCAAAACTGACGGTAAATTGATTTATTGAGTTACCTCTATATGTTATTACTCTAACCTATTATGACTACGGTTTAATTCTAGTTTAATCTCGTTTAAAGAGAGACCTTGTGTTAGGTATCCTTCTAAAACTTCCCGCGGAGTAATAATATAGATTAGAGAAGCTACTTAAATTCCTTAACACGAATCAAGGGGGAGATTGTTGAGTTTTCCTTGTATGTTATTACTCTATCTTGTTATGGAAGTAATAATATAGGTCAGAGAGATTACTAAGATTCCTTAACACAAGTAAAGGGGAAGATTGTTGAAGTTAACTCCGGTTAATGAGTAACCTCATGCTTAGCTATTTATAGCTAAAATCAATCGCTGGTGTTAGGTATATATACCCAGTGTCTATGTATTAAAAAAAATACTCAGAATAAATTGGTATTAAAGCCGGTTTATAATTTGGAGTCTATAATGAGTATATTGTTCGGAGTCTGAAATCAATTTCACTTTGTATTTGTTGACAAAAATATCACTTAGTTTCTGGTGAAGGTTTTGTGAGACAAAATTTACTAACAGCTTTTTGAAGATGAAAATTTTCAGGTTTTTTGACGGTGATAGATATTTCACACGGTTTTTATTTTCACAAATGTTTGTTGACTGTCAAACTCAACTTGACAATTTTTCCAAGATATATTATGCTAACAAGTGGTGATTCTATTCAAAAGATTGTTAAATTTTATGACATGTGATTCTGTTTGAGTTTGCTATTTATGTATGGTTTTGCCGATAGAAAGTTGAGCATACTTGGTTTGCAAAGACCTCCGACGCCTCTGTGTTTAAACCCTGGGCTTGTGTTTGAGAGTTTGGTCGTTGCAAGATGTTATGGTGGAGACTAAGAGCCAAGGATGAGGCTGGTCAAGAGAACGCTGAGACTTGAAGAGTTCAACAGGAGTGATGGGTTGTTTTCAAGAAGTATTTTATGATGACAATCTTGACAAAATTATGTCTGCGGAATTTTAAGACAACAGTGACAAAAGTTAGACAGTTCTCTAAAAATGACGAACAAATTTGTCAAGATCGGAGAAGATTTGGTTCTCGATTGTACAATTTGTCGAGATGGTCTTGGAACTTGGGTTGCGAGTATCAAGACCCTCGTCTGAAGAAGATTTCTTACAAAACCGCAACTAGAATCGATATTCATTAAGAACAGGTAAGGATTGGACTCTGTGAGGCTCGAAATATATTTAGATTTGAGCAATTGATGCACAATGTTGCGTCAAATTCCTTGTTCTTCTAGTTTGAGGTGTAGCTTACATGGACAAACATGTAGTTCATCTAACGTGGAATCAATCAAGCAGCGTGTGTGGCCTACTCGCGGACCTTCTAGCGGAATCGGAGCAATGTTCTCACAAAGCTCTGCATTTGTGTTAGAAACAGAAGATTAATCAGCCAAAAAGGGAACATGAATTTTTCCACACTTTCACAAAAGCTCTTATATTAATTATAAACGTAAAACACAAGAAACACAACGATACACTCAACTAAGTCAAGCCATTAACACGAGAGACATCAGCGTATAACATGGTTCAGCTTTAGGATGAACCATAATAATAGCATTGTGATAGTATACTTTGTGTATTGTATGATAATACACAAACCCTTGGTATATATATCCAACACCCGCGACCAATTTTAGCTATACATAGCTAAACATGAGGTTACTTCTTAACCGGAGTTTTACTCAACAATCTACCCCTTCACTCGTGTTAAGGATTCTCAGGAAACTCTTTAATCTATATTATTACTTCGTGGTAAGTTCTAGACGGAGACCTACCACAAGGCTACTCTTTAAACGAGAGTTAACTAGAACTAAGTTGTAGCCATAACATGATAGAGTAATAACATATAGAGCTCCTTGTGCTTCCCATGCAAAACCTGCATAGTAGCACAGTGTCATCTGAATCTCTCCACAATATTAACTTTGATCAACGCATCAGTTGGATTGAATTAACCATCAATCTTGACTGGCTCAATCACGTCCTTAAAATCTTCGTCACTACAGGTGCTTCTTCTTGAACATTAATTATGTAATGATCAAACTCCCCCACAATCACAAACTCCACCACAATCATATACGTGAAAGAAGATTTTCTCTTGTCATGACAAAGAGCATGAGAACTCTCCACTCTTTCAAAGATTTAGTCCTCATTGAAAAAAACAACTTTCAAAGCCCATAACTTACTTTTGCCAAAGCACAAAATCTGGTACTCATAGATTCAAATTCTCCAACATGTGGATTGTCATTCCGACCATTATTTGTTGGCATCAAACCAATGTACTTCCTCTACATGCCAGCAGTTGAAACACTGCATTGCCCCCTTGGCCATGAAAGCTAACGCAATACAATCAAAATGGAACCAATGCCCGCATACAAGTTTCGTAATTGATCTCCGCCGTGGACGAGTATAACATCCAGGTAAATACTATTGGTCGATGTCTCAACTTCTTGTGATGTTTCACGTTTTTCTTCTTCACACATGTGATCATATCTAACCAAGCTGGTACTTGTGCATTCTTGCAAAAAAGTTGTCAATAACATTCTTCAGCACACTCTCATATCCAAGTAAATTTGAATCTAGACTACTATGCTTCGCGATCAATAACAAAACTTTTTGTATGTTCACGATATTCAAATCCGCATGTTACAATATTCGTCAAACAAAATATGTTAGTAGCTTCTCACTTTGACTATTCATGACTTTGAAATGCAATTAATCTAGTGACAATTCTGAATTTTGATGAGATTCGAGAGAAGTACATACTATCCAGTCAGCCCACCAAGTGTTGCTCGTGACTATCATCGGCAACTAACATGCCCATAACTGTTGCGTGCACATAACCTTCACTGTGCACGCAATCATCGCCTACGATTGGTGTTGCCCGTGATCACTCTTCGTCGAATATCCGTCGATCGCACTTCTCTCGGCCAATTGTGGTTGGTACACCTACTGCGGTTGCTTGTCGACCGTGGTTGGTCTACCTACCATGATGCATCCAGCTTACCGCGGTTGCCTCACCTATTGCGACTGCTTTCGGCCCGACCGCGATTGCTCTAGCCGACTTAGGTTATCACATCTATCGCACTTTGCCCTCCTTCAAACATGTTTAGTCATTCATCGGCGAGAACACGTTTGGAAGAAGAGTGAAAAGGACGTTTTGATCAGTTCCAATTTGTCCAAATGTCTTTCAATTGTAATAAATATCCTGAACAATCTAGGTCAAATGGCCTCCATATTATATGAAATATATATAAGTTAAAGTAAACAATCTCTAATAGCTTGCACCAACCATTTGTTTATCATAGCCATGGATGTATC